CCGCCCTGAGTCCCCCCTCGGGGGTGAGAAGGGCGGGGTAGAAGTAATTGAAATAAATAAATAAATAAACAACTGTTACTTACACCTTTATAATATTTAGCCAATTGTTGTGGAGTTAGGTGCCAATGGAAGAACATTTTTTGCCAGTTCTCTGTTATGTTCGTAGATCTTGCGTATTTTAGGTTTTTTCCAAATAACTTCCCACTCTTTTAACAGAATAGAATGACCGAAGTCCACAGCCCATTTAATCATGTTGTCTTTTATTAACTCAGTCTCGGTGTCCCACTCTAGTAGTTTATGGTATAATATCTTTATTAGTTTCTTTTCCTTTTTCATTATTGTATCCCAGATCGATTCTTGTGTTGCAAAATCCTTCTTTGAAATTATCTGATATTTGAACACAGTGAAACCAGGTTAGGTTTTCATCTGTCTCTCTTAATGTTTCTAATGATTTCAACTTCCAAGTAGTATCCAGTTTCTAATGTTTTATATGTATGCCACTTATCTCTGGGGATGTCTCTTTTGTGATGAGCCTCTATTGAGGACAACCAGAGGGGCGTTTTATCGTAAAATCTTGTCTTGTGCTTCTCCCAGATTTTAATTAGGGAAAAATGTTTTTAAGACTCATAAATGACACTGGTTAACAGTTCATTTTTGAAACCTCTAGTCTGCAAGGTTCTGCAGAGAATGAGTGCCTGGGGGAGCTTTTCTCCCAAAACCAGTAAACCCAGCACACCGCTCTTGTCACCAGACCTAAATAGCAACTACTTTTCCATTTACCCATTTGTTTAATATCAGTGATTACTCATAGTAGCACACAAATAAATAATTACTCTAAAAAAAATCTATTAGCCTCTTGTCTGCATACAATTATATTAAGGCTCAGCAGTGCATTAGGGAAATATTGTCTCATAGAAGTGTATTTTGTTTTGATAGCCAGAGAATATTCTTATTCAGTAACAGTAACTGGTTACTTTAAGTGAAATGAAGAAAGAAGCACATATATTTGCTAGCTGTACTTTTTACTGGAGATAAGAATTATTGACTTAGCAATAAACTAGTTCAGACAAACTAAAGGAAACAAATGATAGGTCTACAAAGTGCAAGATAATTCAGAAAGCATACAAAAAAGAATTATAACAAAAAAGAATTATTTCAGAATTATTGTGCCATTTTTAATGGCACAATAATCAAACCCAAATAAACTACCTAAATGTATACAGTATTTTGTTTAAAGTACACAAGGAGTACTTGAAAAACAGACTTCCACTGAATTGTTCTCTTAGTTCAAAGCCCATCGTTCTCACTATGAAGTCCCAGTGTTCATTCAGAAAAACACTACAATCTTGTAAACAAGATAGCTAATATGTATACTAAAGCATTATAGAAGGGAAATAAAAAAACATCAAACAGAATCTGCAAGTTTTGTTCTTTCTTCAAATTGCTTGTCTACCACAAGTGACAGAGCTTGAAGAAAAGTTGTCATCGTAGCATTAGGCGACTGTAAACAAAGGTAAAAATAAAACAAGTGTTAGAATGCTATGCTATGTATCAAGTCTATTATATGAAAACAGAGAACTCATCCTACTACATCAGCACTAAAATCGCTGGAACACCTCAGCAAGCGAGAGTCCAAAAGTGGCAGGCTCAAACCGAGAACCTCAATCAATGGCTGATACCAAATGAGAGACTCCCTCCTGGGCACACAGAAAACTGGGCGACTTGGAAGGCGCTGGACAGACTGTGCTCTGGCACCACGAGATGCAGAGCCAACCTTAAGAAATGGGGCTACAAAGTGGAATCCACGACATGTGAGTGTGGAGAAGAGCAAACTACAGACCACCTCTGCAATGCAACCTGAGCCCTGCCACATACACAATGGAGGACCTTCTTGCAGCAACACCAGAGGCACTCCAAGTGGCCAGTGTCAAAGGACATTTAATCAACTACCGAACTTGCAAACTTTGTATTTTTTCTGTTTGTTTGTTAAAAAATGCAACACAACTGTTCAATCTGCTCCTGACACAATAAATAAATAAATAAATAAAGCACTAAAATCCATTAAAATAAGGTAAAACCAAGGGCAGTATTTACACTGTTGAACAATTCTCTAAACCTGATCATATTCAGAAGCTGATTTAAGCTAAATATTATACATATTGCTTATATGAAGGCTTTGTTTAGACATACTGGCTACTGCTGGTGCCAGAGTTAAACTAGTGTAAATATGTTGTTAGTAGAATCCAAAAAGGTACCAAAACCCCCCCAAAGGTTCACTTGTTGCCCATCCCTGTAGGAACAGGAGAGTCACAAACCAGCATAACCTTACTTGAATATAAAGTGCATGGGCTAGAAAAGGAAGTTTCCTTAATACACGGCCACTGAGTCCTTCACTTTTCCTAGAAGCAGAAATACATAATAAAGCATTAGTATCATTTTCATAAACACAAACACATAAGGACTTACAGCTGTGAAATATGGGTAATAAATTTCAAACTAATTTCTGCAGCATACTATATTTGGGCAAAATCAGCTACTGAATTGTGGTACTCAGAATATGTCTCTGTGACCCCCCTGTCTTAGCTAGAGTAAATACTGTAACTAATTTCTAAACTACACTACTGTATTTCCTTGATATTAAGACACGTTTCCCCCATGGAAACATCTCTAAAAACAGTGTTAGACTTAGACTTGCCAGTGTGTGTGTGTATATATATATATATACAGGGTGAGGCAGCATAACTTCCTTTTTTAAAATGCGCGCCATTCAATCGGTTGAAGACGTAGCAGAGCGCTAGTGGTCTCGTTCGAGAGGCGGGAGTATAAAGTTTTGTCCTGACACAGTTCAGTCGCCATCATGCGTTGGAACAGTGAGAAGCATGCTTTTGCCGTTGAGGCCTACTTTTCGAGTGGATATGGAGTGGCCAGCCCGCTCTCCAGATTTGGTCCCTTGTGATTTTTTTCTATGGGGTTTTTAAATTTTTTTATTTATTTATTTACATTATTTATATCCCGCCCATATCAGCCCGCAGGCGACTCAAGGCGGTCTACATATCGGCACAATTCGATGCCATCAATACATACATTCAAAAAGCAAAAACAATTAAGTGCAGTTAGACAAAAAAGTGCAATAACAGTCTTAAAAGAACTATATCCTCTCATTCCAATTCTCATCCGTTTCATCGTCTTGGCCATTCCTGGGTCATTCTCCATCTCAAGCTTGACTATTTATTCCAAGGTTTCGAATGCTTGCTCGAAGAGCAAGGTTTTTACTCTCTTCCAAAAAGTCAGGAGGGAGGGGGCTGATTTAAAATCCATAGGCAGGGAGTTCCACAGCCGAGGGGCCAGCACAGAGAAGGCCCTGTGTCTCTCGTTCCCGCCAAGCGTGCTTGCAAAGCAGACGGGATTGAGAGCAGGGCCTCCTCAGATGATCTTAACTTCCTGGAGGGTTCGTAGGAAGAGATGCGTTCGGATAGGTCGGCTGTGCCAGAACCGTTTAAGGCTTTATAGGCTAAAGCCAGCACTTTGAATTGAGCCTGGCAGCCAGTGGAGCTGATGCAGCAGAGAAGTTGTGTGCTCCCTGAGCACCGCTCCTGTTAGCAACCTGGCTGCCGCACGCTGGACCATTTGAAGCTTCCGGGCCGTCTTCAAAGGCAACCCCATGTAGAGCATGTTGCAGTAATCTATGCAGAAATCCCGTGTTTATGTGAACCGTCCAAGGACCCTACAAGATTTGAAGACCAACATGCAGGAAGAAATTGCCAACATAACGCCTGCTATGCTGGCAAGAGTCATGACAAACACCAGAAATCGGTTTACTCAGTGTATGGAGAATGGGGGACGTCACCTACCTAATTTGATCTTCAAAACTACGTAAAACAAAACTTTAGGTATGCGCCTACATTATAAAAAAAATCTCATTTATACAATGGGTTTTATTAAGTTTTGAAAAAAGGAAGTTATGATGCCTCACCCTGTATATATATATATATATATATATATATATAGAGAGAGAGAGAGAGAGAGAGAGAGAGAGGAAGATTTCCTGTTGGTGGTACTGAAATTAGTGTGCATCTTACAACCGTTAGCGTCTTAAAATCAATAAATTAGAATTGGAAAATTCAAAGAAAAAAGGAATTGCATTATACTGATTCAGTACTGGCAACTCTAACTGGCACCAGCTCTCCAAGATTTCATACACAATTTTTTTCTAGCCCTCGTTCTCTCCTGTAGCCTTCCATCTGAGCAATAATTCCACCTAGCTTCCAAAATCAGATTGCATCTCACACTAGAGATAGAAACTTGGATGACTGAGTTTATCACTTTACCATGTTTGTTCTTCACTACTAAACTTTGATTATGGGGAGCAGAATTCTAAAATTTGCCCAGAAACAGTAATACTCCTTCATTGATAGTTGTATCCAGTTTTGGTGTATTTTTTACAAACCTTTTCTAACTAGGAACACAACATTGCCAAAATTAGCTTTGTGCTGAACACGTGAGGGTCTGGAATATTATCCTGACATGGTCAACATTAGATGATGGGTTGATAACTGTGATATGACTTGTAATAACAACCAAGTCTTTGAAGAATCATAACCTATGCTGAATATGTAAAAATTACAGTTAAGAGTAGGGAAATAAAACCAAAGAATCCTACCTTGAAATTGCTTTTAATATGAGACTCAATTTTGACACATCGTTTTCTAAATAACCAATCATCTCTAGCTCATGCAATGTCAGCAGCTGCTGTCGAGGATATATTATTTGGCACTTTAGAAAGAAAGTAATATACAAATATGAAGCTCAAAATGCATGCTACTCATATAAAAATCACTTCATAGAATCACATAATTGGAGGATACTTTGCATGTCATCAAATGAAATCCTTTTCTCAAATAGGACACAGAACTACAATATTTTTCACAGCTAGACCAGGGGTCCTCGGACTTTTTAAACAGAGGGCCAAGTCACAGTCCCTCAAACTATTGGAGGGCCGGATTATAATTTGAAAAAAAAAATGAATGAATTCCTATGGACACTGCACATATTTTATTTGTAGTGCAAAAAACACTTTAAAACAATACAATAATTAAAATGAAGAACGGTCTTAATAAATATAAACTTATTAGTATTTCAATAGGAAGTGTGGGCCTGCTTTTGACTAATTAGATAGGATTGTTGTAGTTGTTGTGTGCTTTCAACTCATTTCAGAATTAGGCTGAAATACATTTCGGGCTTTTTCTATTATATCTGCATTGATCTGTACAGTGTGTATTTGGCCTTATTAATATACACACATACTCCTTGGGCCAATATGCGATCCAGGGCCATTCCATTTTGCAACGTGACTTGTCTGATTCGATTTATCTTCTGTGACATCTACAACAAGGCTGCATTGGTCATTATTTTCTATTGGATGTAATACTGGATCTGCGGAGGTGGCATGAGGCATCCCAGTAGCATGTTATCTTAGCCAGATGACCATGAGCATAACCTTTTAGACATTATGACCCGTCCAGAGCATGTTGCCATGTCAATTGTGTTGACATGGAAATCAGACCAGCCCACATGAATGTTCTGGTGGACACTACCAGATTGTGTATCCATCTGGATGCTAAATTTAAATTTCCAAGGCCCATGACTGCTTGATGTCAACTGACCCCTTTCTAAACTTTAACCAATACTGCTTCCCTGACATTTCAAACCATTGGTTCTATTTCTGAACTGTAGAGCAATCCAATCTGGTCTATTTTCTACATGACAACCAATTAGATATTTGTAAACCACTATATGTCTCTTTAATCTTCTCTTTTCCTGCCAAAACATTGCCAACATTTCCTCATCAGACTTGGTTTCCAAACCCCTTGTTATTTTCTGGAAATCTGAATGAAATTATGGGATTAGCCTGTTGTATTATTGCCATAGCTAACTATAATATGACTATTCATTCCTGCCGTGTTTACCTTCATTAGTTCTTCCAAGCATGAAAGGTAGATTTTAAATATTGCTGCAGCAGAAGGAGGACCAATGTATTGCTTGATGTCTGCTCTGTCCACAAAGGCCATATCAATTTTTTCCGTGATATTAGAAGTTGTTAAGATAACAACATTAGGATACCTTTAAACACATAAATAAAACTCAACTCATTTCCTAAATTCTTTGGCAGAACAAGATTTGAAAACTGACATGATTTCAGTTAATTGCCTCTGTTTATGTAGATACTGATGGAAACCACCGAGTACACCTAAAAATGTTGCACCTATATTTTCAAATCTCCTTTGAAAACATAAGATCTAGCAATAGAGGAAATGATTATTTTCTGTAATTAAATCAAACGAAGATAATTTAATATAATGATTTTTAAAACAGAAAAAAGCTAGTAATATATTTAATTTGTTTGAAAGGTGACCCACAAGCTGCCTGCACAACACAGGGGGCCCATCTGAGTCTGGATCAAATCCATATGATTTCTTGAAACAAAATCTTACAAAGAAAGTATTTACCATATCTTCAAAGAAGAAGGTCATTTTGTTCTATGTAATCTATATATATATATATATAAATGTAATGTTCTTTTGTGGGATTAATAGAACTCAAAAACCATTGGACAAATTGACACAAAATTTGGACACAAGACACCTATCAGGCCAACGACTGACCATCATTCAAAAAATTGATTTTGTCATTTGAGACTTGTAGTTGCTGGGATTTATAATTCACCTACAATCAAAGAGCATTCTGAACTCCACCAATGATGGAATTGGGCCAAACTTAGCACACAGGACTCCAGTGACCAACAAAAAACACTAGAAGGGTTTTGTGGGCATTGATCTTGAGTTTGGGAGTTGTAGTTCACCTCCATCCAGAGAGCACTGCGGACTCAAACAATGATGGATCTGGACCAAACTTGGCACGAATATTCCATATGGCCAAATATGCACATAAATGGAGTTTGGAGAAAATAGACCTTGATATTTGGGATTAGTAGTTACTGGGATTTATAGTTCACCTACAATCAAAGATCATTCTGAACCCCACAAATGACTGAATTGGGGCAAACTTCCCACACAGAACCCCCATGACCAACAGAAAATACTCAAGGCCATCCAGTCCAACTCTCTTCACCGGGGCAAGAAAATGTAATCAAGGCCCTCCTGACAGAGAGCAATCCAGCCATAGATATAGATAGATATATATGATTCACACACACACAGATATAGTATCCTAGATTTGAAAGGGACCCCTAAAGAAGGACAATGATATGTTGCATGTTCCAGAGTAGGCAAACCAGACCATCTCTACATCAACCCTGACAAAGAATCAGCAAGAAATACTGTTTACCTACAAGCAGAAAGAAATTACATATATTAGAAACCAACACTTTCTCGTTACTTTATTTTCCAGATCCCCAGACTGGGCCACAGCAACGCGTGGCAGGGGATGGCTAGTGGGATTATAAAATTGTTTTGTTTCAGGACAGCATATTTTGAAATACTTCTTTTGCAAAATAGGAACACTCTGTTTCCTCTGATTGTTCCTAGTTAATTTCTCCTATTTTGCAAAAAGCTGCAACAATAGTTACCTTTTGATCTGATCTATTTGTGTCAGTACTGCATTTACGACACGGATCGCATCAGACGGCTCAGTACCTGCTCGAACAGCACTACGAGCTGCTGTGAGGCTTTCCACCTACAAAACAAGCACTCTCATGAAGGCTATTTTTAGGCAGAGTAATTGCAATAATTAAAATACTACCAGCTCTGATAGATAATATGCAACCTCTCACACTAAAAGCTACACTGGAACTGGAAAACAGAAAATACAATTAAAAAGAATGCATTAAATGAATATGATTATGTTGTCAATCAGAAATTCTTTGCTGTTTGGGACAGGACTGGTCCTAATATTACACAGTGAGACACTGCCTCAAATGACAGATGCAAGGAGTGGCCAATTGCACCTTTCCTCCAACCAAAAAAAAGCTCTACTACATTGAACTGCATCTCCCACTGTACCTTATCCTGCTGCTATACAATTCTCTCCACTTGCTTTAATTCTCCCTGATTTTATTTATCGTGTCATCAGCAACCATTGTATTACAATTCTAACAGAGCAAAACAAAAACACAGATTAAAAAGAAAAAAGGGAAAAAACCACACAGATTTTGCAAACTTGGTAGTTGGTTAAATGTCCTTTGACCAGTATCTGGCCACTTGGAGTGCCTCTGGGGTTGCCGCAAGAAGGTCCTCCATGGTGCATGTGGCAGGGCTCAGGTTGCATTGCAGCAGGTGGTCAGTGGTTTGTTCTTCTCCGCACTCGCATGCCGAGGATTCCACCCTGTAGCCCCATTTCTTAAGATTGGCTCTGCATCTCGTGGTGCCAGAGCGCAGTCTGTTCAGCGCCTTCCAAGTCGCCCAGTCTTTTGTGTGCCCAGGGGGGAGTCTCTCATCTGGTATCACCCATGAATTGAGGTGCTGGGTTTGGGCCTGCCACTTTTGGACTCTCGCTTGCTGGGGTGTTCCAGCGAGTGTCTCTGTAGATCTAAGAAAACTATGTCTTGATTTAAGTCGTTGACGTGCTGGCTGATACCCAAACAGGGGATGAGCTGGAGATGTCTCTGCCTTGGTCCTTTCACTATTGGCTGCTACTTCCCGGCGGATGTCAGGTGGTGCAATACCGGCTAAGCAGTGTAATTTCTCCAGTGGTGTGGGCGCAGACACCCTGTGATAATGCTGCATGTCTCATTAAGAGCCACATCTACTGTTTTAGTGTGGTGAGATGTGTTCCACACTGGGCATGCATACTCAGCAGCAGAGTAGCATAGCGCAAGGGCAGATGTCTTCACTGTGTCTGGTTGTGATCCCCAGGTTGTGCCAGTCAGCTTTCGTATGATATTGTTTCTAGCACCCACTTTTTGCTTGATGTTCAGGCAGTGCTTCTTGTAGGTCAGAGCACGGTCCAGAGTGACTCCCAGGTATTTGGGTGCGATGCAATGCTCCAGTGGGATTCCTTCCCAGGTGATCCTCAGAGCTCGGGATGCGTTTCTGTTCTTGAGATGAAAAGCACATGTCTGTGTTTTAGATGGATTAGGGATCTGTGGTTTTCCCTGTAATAGGCAGTAAGAGCACCTAGAGCTTTGGAGAGCTTCTGTTCTACCATCTCAAAGCTCCCTGCTGGAGCAGTAATGGGGGGGGGGACATGAGAGAAGCCTCCTCGCAGGATTGCAAGACATCCGGGCGTCCCCTGGGCAACGTCTTTCGTAGACGGCTGATTCTCTCGATCCAGAAGCAACCAGAATTCTCCCTGCTGCCATAAAGACACCCTCCATTTATTTAAAGAAGTACTGGCCAGCATGCCTTTATCTAGAGCTAAACAACCAAGCAAGGAGCAGATGGCAGTCATCCATGCCACGGTCACATCTAGGCTAGACTATTGTAATGCCTTGTATGTTGGCCTTCCTATTTCTACAACCCGAAAGCTCCGTATTGTCCAGAATGCTGCAGCCAGGTTACTCACAAAAACGCCCATGAAATGCCATATAACACCAGTGCTGCGGCATCTACACTGGCTCCCAATTGAGTATCGTGGTTTGTATAAGATGCTGGTCCTGACCTTTAAAACTTTATATGGCCAGGGTCCATTGTATCTTAGAGACCGTCTCTCCTTCTACCATCATCGGAGGTCGCCACAACCATCCCAACGCGATTTTTCCTATATGCCGGGTCCTAGGGAAGTGCACTTGGAAAGCACCAGACGCAGGGCCTTCTCTATTTCTGCCCCTGCCTTATGGAATTCCTTGCCTCCCTATTTGAGAGCCATGCGTGACTCAGGGCATTTTATCCTAGCACTTAAGACCTGGCTTTTTACTAGAGCATTCGACCCATGTTAATGTTAATATTTGTATGTATGTGTTTTATCCTGTATAATTTCTGCAATGTAAATCGCCTGGAGCATCTTGGATGGAGAGCGATTAATAAGTAATTAAATATGATGATGATGATGATGATAACATGCAGCAGATATTTTCTCAAACAACCAAACTAAATGTTTTCCCATATAGATACAGGTGCATATGCAATTATGTATATACAATTATGTATACAGTCCCTGAGTTACAAACACCCGACTTACATACAACTTCTAGTTATAAACTTGGGTGAGACAACAGGAAGTGAGAGAAAATCTACCCCTAGGAAAGGAAATTCACTCCTGCATGAGTTGAAAAAGAAAAAGGTGTCTCCACTGAAGCTTTATCACCAATTCGTGTTTCCACCACAAGCCAAAATTTTCAACATTCAATTATCACAGGGACAGAAAGTGAAGTGGGATCTTCTGAATAGGGGCATGGACAGCAAAAGAAATGTCACAGGGGTGTTTAACTCTTTCCTATGCTATCCAAAAATAAAAATTGCTGGAGTTGCACTTAAAAATGTACCTAGAATCATAGAATCATAGAGTTGGAAGAGACCTCATAGACCATCCAGTCCAACCCCCTGCCAAGAAGCAGGAAATTGCATTCAAAGCACCCCTGACAGATGGCCATCCAGCCTCTGTTTAAAAGCTTCCAAAGAAGGAGCCTCCACCACACTCCGGGGCAGAGAGTTCCACTGCTGAACGGCTCTCAGTCAGGAAGTTCTTCCTCATGTTCAGATGGAATCTCCTTTCTTGTAGTTTGAAGCCATTGTTCCGCGTCCTAGTCTCCAGGGAAGCAGAAAACAAGCCTGCTCCCTCCTCCCTGTGACTTCCTGTTCCAATTTACATACAAATTCAACTTAAGAACAAACCTACAGAACCCATCTTGTCCGTAACACGGAGACGGCAAAATCTGCTTACAGATCTCTTAATGGTTTCAGCAAAACAGGAGAGTGTGATGAATTTCTTCATACAAGGAGCAACATATTTAAACCTTCATATCCCTACCTTATTCTCAGGACAGAGTGATAAACATGCTGCTCCTTGTTTTTCTGTCCAAAATTGGTTGTTTATCACTTTATTTACACTTTTAGGATAAGTAGGAGAAACCAAATGTGTGTGTCTTGGCCTATAAAAACATGTTAATGAATATATGGACCTACGTTTTACATGTTGACCAATACATTTTCCCATGGTTTGACCAAAACCTCTGTGACCCTTTCCAGCATAAAATACTGCATGCTAAAAATTCCTTTATCCAGTGATCTCTGTCTACATTGGATGCTGCTGCATGTCCCCCTGCCATCTGCTCCTTGAATGGTTCTTTAGTTCTAGATAAAGGTATTTTACAATAAATTATGCTCCGGTTATCTTCCCAAAAAATAGTCAGGAGAGAGTATTCTAACTAACTCTTCAAATCAAATGACCAAACCTAATTCACCAGGGAAATATACCACTGACTACTTCCAATTTCACCATCACAAATATTCAGGAAGAAGCACATTTACTTTTTTTTCTCTTGATTCCTGCTGACATTTATTTTTAGCCCCAAACATCATCTTCACAACCAACACTGTGATGTCACAAAGCAGCAAAACCTACAGTTGCCATAGACACACTTCCCAATATTATCTGAACATATTATGCCACATTGCCATTTGGTTGACTGGCTACACTCCTAGAGGCTGACATCAAAAATGAAGAAAGACCACCAGGTAAGGAACTTATTTGTACCCAGAATTTTGTGCTGGAAAGGGTCATGGAGGTTTTACTCAGAACCTGGGAGCACATTCTAAGGATTTATTAAAATATTCCCATCCAAACCCAAGTAATGAACGTAGAGGTTTCATTTGAACTTCAATTGGTCCAGCGTTCGGCAACCAGATTACTAACTGGGGCGAATTACAGGAAGCGGTCAACCCCCTGTTTAAGGAGCTCCATTGGTTGCTGTTCATTTTCTGGTCCCAATTGAAGGTGCAGGTTATTACCATTAAAGCCCTGAACGGTTTGGGACCCGCCTACCTACCACAAACCTGTACGATCCCTTTGATCCTCTGGGGAGACCCTCCTTTCGACCCTCTATCACAGGCATGACTTGCGGGAACAAGGGAGAGGTCCTTCTCCGCTATGGCCCCCCAAGCTTTGGAACTCGCTGCCTGGTGAGATCAGGCAAGCCCCCACCCTAGCAGCCTTTAAGAAAGATCTGAAAACTTGGCTCTTCCAATGTGCCTTTGGAGAGTGACCATAAATCCCATTTCTGTCTGATCCATCTATAGTTGTCCTTATGATGCACTTTCCCCCATCCTTAATGAAGGCCTAACCTCACTGTTCATTCTTTTTGAGCTCCTCCTGCACAAATTCACTTTTTACTCATATCTCATCCAGGGTTTTATCATTTTACCTCGTGCATTTGGCCCACCCATTGTGTTCTACTTTTATTATGTTATTTTGCACTATTTATTTTATCTTGTTAATTTATGTATTCTATTGTGATGTGATTTTTGTTGTTTTTGCTTTCATTTTGCTGTGTTGTATCTTCAGACTTGGCCTCATGTTAGCCACCCCGAGTCCCCTCTGGGGAGATGGTGGCAGGGTATAAATAAAGTTTATTATTAATATTAGTATTATTATTATTATTAACATGTATTACTAGCTTGGGGACCCGGCACTGCCCGGGTTATTTGAGAAAGGAATTGTGTATCAAGGTTGGTCTTTATCAGTTATTTGTATGGCTCGCAGTGGTCTCAGGAAGTTAGTGAAGGTACTGCGAGTCCCAT